TGTCAGGGGTCGGCAGCGGGTTTCCGCAGAGGAAACTGATATCAATAATAATCATAATAATTGAGACAGTGATAGCACCGTCCCAACTCCAAGAGGTCGGGCGCCGTCCCAAAATACCGCAAAGAATGCTGCTATTAGAAGGACAAACAAGCTCCGTCTTCTCCAATTAAATCTTCATGTCAACATTAACTCCACGAAAGCGCGTTTGCACTTGTGAAAGAAAAGCAACTGGATGTACTGTTATTACAGGAGCCCTACTCCACGAATGCCAATTCAAAAGGCTACGCAGTTAGAGGATTTGGCCAAGCCCTAATCGCTGCAAAAACCCTTAAACGGGAAAAACCCAAATCGGCTATTGTCGTAGTCAATCCTCTTCCTAAGATACTCTATATCGATGAACTTAGTATTGCACACTGTACGTGTGCTCTCATTGAAGGACTTAGTTATTCATTTTACGCTATTTCACATTACTTCCAATTCAAGGATCTAATCGAAGTTCTAATCGAACACCTACGAAAAGTCTTGACGACTCTTAAAAGTAAACAAGTTCTTATCTGTATGGATGCGGACGCCCGATATCCTCTACGGTCACCAGACTTCGACACCAGAGGGGAAAAGCTTGCAAATTTCTTTATCGAATTGTACAAGACGAAGGCGATCGATGATCTCAATGCGCGATATACACTTCGTACTGACGAAGTAGTAACGTACAACAATGTTAGGATTTCTCTGAACGACAACACGTCAGAAGAATCGTCGACGCCGATAATGAACCTCAGATTGCAAACAATAAAAATAAGGCAGGCAGAATGAGATGCGTCTGAGACGGGCCGCAAAACATACCAATTTTTATGGGTAAGAGAAAAGAGGAGGGTAGCGTGAGCGGGTGCAGCAATGCCCAGCACACAGAATCCTCCGCCCCGTAGAAGTAGTAGGTCATTACCAGCGCCGTAAGAAAACATAGCTCGTGAACTTCATTGATCCACACCTGGGTGTTGTCGGAGCACCTAGGCACAGGTTGCAGGCCTGCAATCTTCGTAGAACACCTGAAACCTGTGGATCAAACGGATAGGAATTTTATTCTCCATTTCACTTTACTTAACAATCTTCAGTAATAATAAAAACTTTTACATATTTCAGGAAACACCTAACACTAAACATTAAATTTCTTTTAGCCGTCGACAATATAATGGTACTCCCCGCATACCATAAGCACGCATCCGGGGCTGCAAAGTCAAAAAACGACATGCAGGAACCGGGTGCATTCGGTCAATTGAGGTTGGACTCGTAGTGGTATGTTGCAAGGCCTTGGGCTAGATGCGTGTATCCTCGAGCCTTTCTAAAGGCACAAGAATATTACGTCCCAAGTAACGCCGTCACTAGAAGTAGAGTCTTCCCCAGAATTATGCCCTATAAGGCGAGGTACTCAAACAAAATGTCCTTCTCAGGACAGGGAAACAAGGCTTGATTTTGAATCAATTATTGCGTATGTAGTTCCAAATCAGGACAAGAAAATTTTTAGTTTTGATTTGCTTTTGACCTCTTCGTCAAGTCGAAATCAGATCTTATTTTTGGACTCGGAGAGACGTAGATTCTAATACACAATTTATAACAATAAATAAGAACGTATCAAGTTTGTAAATGGTTTGTCCATTGGTCGCCCGAGATTTTTGTGCTGCATTTGCTATAACACTTGCCTCTAAAAACATTTATTCCCTCCCATCAGTCTGTCCTTCCTTTTGCTTTATTCATTCTTGTCCAAAATTCCACGGACCACTCTTTTTCACATAATTCAACCAGCTTCTTGAATTCGCACTTTTTTGTATTTAACATGGCTTTGTCGCACTTGCTGTTGTGACAAGCAGGCAAAAATTGTTTATAACAAAAAAAAATTAAGGACGTGTACATTTTTTCTGCCTGCGAATAGTTTCTTCAGAATCCTCATGCAATTTGACATGAAAATAACCTCGGTTCAAAGTGGGAGGTTGTTTAATATGCTAAAAATTTGATTAATAAAAAAATAAGAGAATTTCCGATTCAAATCAATTGAAATTATTTATTATAAAAATGAATTGGACTTTAATAATTAGAATTAAAATGGTTGATCTCATATAGAGTGAGATGTAGATAGCTGGTTTCATGTCGAGGTGATCCTAGACCAGTGTCGAATGAAAATTAAGAGGCTGAAGCTGTTGAATCCTGTAAGGAAATATGAATTGATATTGTTGCTTAGAGAGTGAAGTGTATGCCCAAAATTAGACACCGCATTGAATCGACATTTTAATCGAACTTTATTTGAATTGAATTAAGTGGTTCTGTCAACAGAAATTCTAAATAAACTTCGTAAAGATTCATGCTGAATCTTCCAATAGACACGTGATCAGAGACTCACTTGATTGCCAATTAAAGATCAATAACAAAACTTGATCTTTTAAAATGTTTCATATCAACCAGTTTAGCCAGCAGATGTTCCTAGCTGGAAATCATTGAGATTTGAGAAAATCTCATCACTTGAGAACGTGGCCGGTTACGTGGTCGATATGTCTCATTTTTAATCAATTGTGGACATAGATCAAGGTATAAGTCAGCAGAAATTGTGAATAATTTCGTGGAAGACCATCTTAACTTCCTCAAGAATGTTTCTTATACGCATTTGATCTAGTAACATAAGAAGAATCGAGGCTGCGCTTGATTCAAACAATAAACAACTTAACTTACAACTTAGTTGAAGATTGAATCCAGCAATGAGATTTATTGCAATTGACTAAATGACAATAAAAAGACCAGTGGCTTAATTTTAACTTGGACTGACTACACCACAAATTTGTTCAATTATATTATTTGATAAAGACTAAAACTATGTAAAAAAATTGTTTTCCATTATTTTGTAAATGTATATAATATTTTACTAACGATTCTCAAACTAAACATGTTTATATTTTATTTATTTCTATATGTATTTTACTGCATAAGACATTTCAACATCGCGATTTTTAATTTTCATTTTCTGAGTGTGGCACCAATTAATGACGAATAATACTGAACTGTGATTAGTGGTAAGTGCTGTTATAATCTAAAAAATAATGTATCAACCTAGGCACAAAGGACGTTTTGAGAAAAAATCAAAAATTGAATGGAGAGAAAAATTAAGTATCGCCGCAAAAAGAAGGAAGATAATTCATGAAGAAAGTACTTTTACGAAAGCTGGTCTCGCCAGTATTTTTTTGATAAGATGTAGGCAGTGTCTAGCTGTTCATCAAGTATGAACATCGAAATTTAGTGACAAGAATCCAAAAAATGTTCGGAAACGCAAATATGCTGTCAACATTAAAACTGCTGCAGGTACACCATAAAAAAATACAAATGATATTGACTAATTGTGCTGGATAAAAATACTGATGGGATATGAATCTTGTGTTAATCTAATGATATTTCATTCATTCATTTATATTATTGATTCCACAGCTGTTATAGACGCAGGTATGAGAGGATCCCAGTTAAAGACTGTACTCAGTGAATGCGATATACCAACGATGCACAGTAGCACACTTCGACGACACAAAGTAATTGTTGAAAAGGCCCTAGAAGAATTGGCTGATGAAAGCTGCCGGAGAGCAATAACTAATGAAAAGCGTTTAACACTTGCAGAAATTCTATCGAAATATTTATCAAATTTATTTTATTTCATCAAATACATATTTAATGTTCTTTATGTGAAGCATGAACGCTTATTTACATGTATAATTGTTATCAGATTGTCTGAACAAGAAGAAAATCTGCCACTTCAATTTACAGTTTCCAATGATGGAGCTTTGTCAAAACGAGGAAACGGTTTTAATTATAATAGTTTGTCAGGTAGCAAAAAATAGCTGCAGTATTTGCAGCAGTATAAAGTTTTATGTGAAATTGTAATTTAGAAAATATTTTTTCGTTATGAAATTTTCAATAATTTATTGAATAATCATTGCTACTCTCAAAACTCAGTTAGAAATTAGTATAAAAATAGTAAAATAGTATCATGATTCAGATAATAATGATAATAAGTTGTATTAGTGCTTTTGCATTATTTTTAGTAATGCACAAACTTTTCTTAATCAATTCAATTATAAGCATTATAAGGACTATTCTGAAAAATTGATCATTGTGTTCTAAGTTTTATATTTTATCATGTACTTCATGGCACAATACATATGATGTCATCAAATTATAATTAGTTTCATTCATTTTAAAATATCTTGATCTCTAATTTTCTAAAGGTCTCCATCAGTGAAGAGCAACATGCACACTATACACCTAAGTTGTTCGAGTGTGTGATGTATATGTGAATGTCCGTGAGGCACTATGGCGTCGACGCCAGTTCAGCTCCGCGCCCAAAGACACTACAACTGACTTTACTGGACCACTGGCACTGATGAGAGTAATTTTGATGGTTTAATAATGTTCACGAGAGTTGTCTGAGTCTGGTTGATCGTATTTTCTCTCTAAGAAAGGTGAGCTGACTGCAAAAACTGCGAATTGACTGCGTAAATTTCTACGGAGTTGACCGCCTGATTTGCCTGGAGCTAACTGACGCCACAAGTGCTCAACCGCGTGCTTGTTGGCGTCACTAGGGCCGTAGAGTCGCCTTCTGGGCCATGAGGGAAATACTTCCCGATGATTGGTCCAGTGAGTGGACTGACGCGCCGGTGGACAAGTCCGGCATTTACAATTTTTGAATATTTCCCGACTAATTGACTCGGGCCCCTCCAAGTCAGAACATTGTCCCACCATCAGCAACGCCTTTGCTGATCTTCTGCTGGTGGAGTGTATGGTAAGATGACTAGTTTGGTGAGTGGTCTGACGAGTTCTGCTGCTGCTGTCTTGAGTTTGACTGTTCTGATGAGTCCGTCTGCTCCTGGGAACACCTTAATCACTCTAGCGAGAGGCCACTTTATTGGTGAGAACCTTTCGTCAGTGAGTAGTACAAGTGAGCCGACTGTGATGTTGTGAAGGGGGTGTTTCTACTTGGAAATGGCGAGTTTCTGCTGAAGGTATTGTTTTGACCACGTGGACCAAAACGATTGGAGTCGCTGCTGAATAAATTGCCACCTGGTCAAGCGTGGCATTGGCACATTTTCCAGTGAAGGCTCTGGCAATATTACGAGCAGTTCACCGACCAAGAAGTGTGCTGGAGTTAACGCTGAGATGTCTGTAGAGTCGGCTGAGAGAGGTTCGAGTGGTCTGGAATTGAGGACTGCTTCTATCTGTACAAGCAGTGTGGAAAGCTCTTCATTTGTAAAGAGTGAGTCGCCTATAGTTCTGTTAAGATGAAACTTCACTGATTTGACTGCAGCTTCCCATTTTTCTCCCATATGTGGTGCAGCTGGTGGATTAAACCTCCACTCAGTTCCATCCTTTGTAAATGCAGCTGCGAGTTGACTAGCCTGTTGAGTCCCCTGCTTGAAGAGTTGTCTGATGAGTGTATCTGCGCCTTGGAATGTGGTGCCACAATCACTGTGGAGAGTTCTGCAGACACCTCGACGTCCAGTGAACCGTCTGAACGCTGCAATGAATGAGTCTGCTGAATAATCTGTTACAATCTCTAAATGAAGTGCAGATGTAACAAAGCACACAAAAATGCACATCCAACCCTTAGATGTTTTGGCGCCTCTGCCTTTCCAAGTCTTTAACGTGATGGGACCAGCGTAATCCACACCACAGACGGCAAACGGTCGGGCTGGAGTGATTCTTGATAACGGCAATTGACCCATTAACTGCTTCGCTCGTTCGCCACATAAACGAGCACATTTCATACAATGATAAATATAAGATCGTACTGGGAGTCGTCCGCCTATGATCCAGTACGATGATCGTATGAGGTTCAGAGTTGCCTGCGTCCCACCGTGCAATGTTCTTTCATGAGCATCTGCAATGATTAGTCTGGAAAGATGAATTTTCTGTGGTAAGATTGCCGGATGCTTTGCTTTTTGGTCCAAGCTAGCATTTGCTCACCTCCCTCCAACACGTATGACTCCTTGAATGTCAATAAATGCTGTCAATCGTGCGAGGGGGTGTGAGACGGGCAGTGAATTTGAGTTGATCTGCTTAATTTCCTGTGAGAAGTACGATTCTTGAGTTGCCTTTATCCAAAAAATCCTTGCTCTCTCTAAATCTCGTGGCGTGAGGGGAAAGGTAAGAGATGACTGAGATACTCGTCTAAAGAGTTGGCTGAACCTGAAGCAAATTGCAGTCACTCTGAGCAATTTCATTAAACGAGAATGTCTGTATATCATATCCCAATGATAATCGTGGTGAATGGTCTGAGTATTTAACGTGATCACGGGTCGCTTTTCTTGCTGAGCTTTTGAATCGTACACTGATGATTGAGTTGGCCATGATGATTCGTCTGCTGTTAACCACTGTGGACCTGTCCACCACAGGGGGTGCTTCTGAAGCTGGGATATGCTGATACCTCGAGAAGCACAATCCGCTGGATTTTGTTTGCCAGGTACAAACCTCCAAACGCTGATTAGAGTGAGATCTTGAATTGCTGACACTCTATTTCTTACAAACTCCTTCCAACGGGATGAGTGAGACTAAATCCAGGTCAATGTTACTGAGGAGTCTGTCCAACATACTGTTTGAGTTGGCTGAATGTCTAAGTTGTTCTTTACATAAGTAATTAGTCTGGCAAGCAGCAATGCTGCGGTGAGTTCTAGTCTAGACATCTTCTTTAATGGAGCAACTTTAGACTTTGAGCAGACTATAGTTGAACAAGGTCCATGATCTGGATGAGTAGCCCGTATATAAACAACTGCTGCCATAGCTAGTTGTGAGGCGTCTGAAAAACCATGAAGTTCCACGGTAGATTTCTGAGTAATCTTTAACCATCGTGGAATTGAGAGGTCTGAAACGTGTAAGAGTTCTGATCTGAAGTTGTTCCACTTGGTGTTAATGTGATCTGGGGCTTGGTCATCTCATGACAGTTTATCTAGCCAGATTTCTTGTAGCAACATCTTTGCTTTGACAATGAAAGGTGCTAGAAATCTAAGTGGATCGTAGAGTTGGGCTGTTTCTGATAAAATTATTCTCTTCGTGAGCTTGGACTTCTCACGAGGAGGTTTTGAGTTGAACTTAAATGAGTCGTTCGCTGGAATCCACGAGAGCCCAAGTAATTTCGTTTTACTGCTCTCAAATGAGTGGATCTGCTCTTCTGATGAGTTGTTTGTGATTGACTGAAGGAATTGAATTGAGTTGCTGTGCCATTTCGCCAACGGGAAGCCACCTGCCATGCAGAGTTGTCTGACTTGAGTTGAGATGTCTATAAGTTGACTCACTGTGTCAGCACCTCCAAAAATATCGTCCACATATCTTTCTTTTACTAGTGGATCAACAGTTAGAGGGAATTCATGACCCTCATCCTCTACTAGCTGGATTATTGTACGAACAGCCAGAAATGGAGCTGATCTGGTACCATACGTGACTGTTGTGAGTTGATATGGGATTATCTTGGAGTGCTCGTCCACCCACAGGATTCTCTGAAGATCCCAATCATCTTGATGGACTTTGATTTGTCTGTACATCTTTGTGATGTCTGATATAAACACAAATTTATGCTGCCTGATCCAAATGAGTACGTCTGCAATGTCTTTCTGGACTTTGGCACCAGTATGTTGAATATCGTTCACTGACAGACCACTAGAAGATGGACTGGAGCCATTAAATACTACACGGAGTTTCGTAGTAACACTGTCTTCTCTTAAGACACTATGATGAGGCAAATAATACACTGGAGAGTTGACTGGACTCGCCTTGGCTCGTGTCATTTGGTTCAGTGACTCATATTCTTGCATAAAGTTGTGCATATGAGTCATTTTTTGTGAGTCGTCTGATCATGTGTCGTAAACACTGATGAGTTGCCTAGCAGAGATGGTGATGTTTGTAGTGGTATTCTCACAATATATCTCCCATCTTAATCTCTTGAATGAGTCGTAACATAATGATCTTCACAAGATTGATCATCTGGGCTGAGTTGGCTGGCTGAAGTATCTGGAACTTCTTCTTGAACCCAGAATTTTGTCAAGAGATCAGATACTTGCTGGTATGAGCTGACTTTTGCTGCGTGATGAGTTGTCTGAGTTGAGCATCTTGTCTGTTGTGGAATTCCAATGAGCATCCATCCAAAAATTGAATCTTCGGCTATTAGAGATGACTGAGGAAACTGTTTGATGCCTGCCTTCACAATTAGACCATAAAAATCTGCTCCTATTAAGATATCAATGGGTCTTGGAGTTGAGTAGTCTGGATCAGCGAGTTGAAGAGAGTTGAGAGCTGACGAGTTGATTCCCTTGATTTGTCTGGTTGGTAAAGTACCAGTGACACATTTGAGTATATGAGCATTAATTGTAACTTGCTCCTGTGTGTGAGTTGATCTAAGTGTCACTGTTGTCACTCCTCTAGTTTGTACAGCTGGTTCGTTACCAATTCCCAGCACTGATATCACTGATGGACGACGTTGGAGATGACAAGTCTTTACCACACTTGATGAGATGAACGTCAGCTCAGACCCTGAGTCTATCAGGAGTCTTACTGGAAGCTGAGAGTAGTCTGAGAGTAATACTGCATTGGCTGTGGCGAGTAAGACTGCTGAGCTGTCTGATTGACCTGAAGACTCATTAATACATGTCTCTTCTGCTGCTCTAAGTGCTGAAGAGAATCTTCCATGAATCTCTGAGTTGTCTGTATTGTTCTTGGTGATTGTTGAATCATGTAAGTCGTCTGAGAGTTGACTAGTGTGAGTTTGACTCTTTTCTTCAGCTGTAGGAGATCGAACGAGACCTTCTGACTCTTCTTCCAGAACCCTCAACCCTCCTGAGGCCAAAACCTCATGTGCTAAGGTCATCCCTTCCGTTGAGTCATCAGAGAAGCGTTCTTTACTCCTGTTAGCACATATAGATTGACATGATTCATCACCATTGATCATTGAGTTGTCTGCATGTTGAGTGATCACACCACCACTTGACGAGTTGACTGAAGCATAATCAGAGTTGACTGCAGAGAGTTGACTATGATGATGAGTTACCTGGTGAGAAGTCTGGTCAGATGAATGAGTGTGATCTGGAGTCGGCTGTAGAAATGGCACATCATCACCTCACTGCCGGAAGGTTGATGGCTGTTGAACTGGTTGAGTTGGCTGCGGTTCTTGGCCTGGGCCATACCCTCTCTTCCGCACAGTGCACCGCTTGTCAGACTGGCACACCTGGATCGAGTGGTGGCCTAAACAATTGAAGCACAGCCGCACTGAGAGGACCAGGTTGTATCGCTCCAGTTGAGAGAGAGCTGCAAACGATTGGCAGTCGACTAGATAATGATCTCGACTGTTGCACTGGTCACATGGGTAATAAGCCTGTCTCTTTTGAGCCCCATGCCTGAAAGATTGAGTTGTCTGCTGGCGAGTAGATTGTTGTGATGACCTGGACCTCTTCGTGATTACTGGAGTAGGCCATCGTTTTGCCTGACGAGCTGCATCTTGAGCTGACTCCATCGCACGTGCCCTGGTTGAGATGAAATTGAGTAGACTGTTGAGTGTAGTTGGAGACCGTGATCTGCTTCGTTCTAACTCCCAGGACTCTCGGAGATGCTGCTCGAGTTTGCTAGCCACCAAATAGATCAAGAAGTAGTCGGCTGAGTCGACTGGAACCTTGAGTGCCCTGAGTGCATCCAAGTTCTGCTTTACAATGCCTACTAAGTTGTCTAACTGTTTAGCTGACTTGGACGATGGTGTTGGAATGCTAAACAGATGTTTTATGTGAGAGAATATGAGTTGCTCAGGGTTATCATACCTCTCTTTCAGTTGCTTCCAAGCTGGCTCATAACCATCATTATTCATGATGGCATGCCTGATAAGTTGCGATGGTGGTCCTGACAGGTTGGCCTGCAGGTAATGGAGCTTGGAAACTGGTCGTAGATTTTGACGATCATGTACCAGAGACGTGAACATATCACGAAACTGGGTCCATTATGAGGAGTCGCCTGAGAACGTCGGAAGGCTTATTTCCGGGAGAGTTGCCTGCTGAAAAATGACTTGAGTTGCCTGCTGAGTTGATGATCTGTACTCGTCGAGTGACTTCTGAATGTCCTTTTCGTGCAATTCAGATTTGACACGGTGGAGAGTTGACTCAGTATGATAGTGAAGTCGCAACGCACTTTCATAGACTCTATCAGTCATGTATGGCTGTCTTACTAGCTCAAGCACATCCTGATACATGAACTGGAGCTGTTGGTACCGTGCCATTTGAGACGTCAGCTTGAATTGTGTTGTATTGGCGATTGCTGGTGGCGTCTTTGACCTGTCACGCGATGGAGATGTTCTTTCAGGCACCTTTAACTTGTTCTCGGTGCCACCTTCTGCCTGAGAGTTGCCTGCAATGTTCAATGTCACTTAGTCGATGCTCACTCTTTCCACCATATCACTAACACCTTCTATTGAGTCATTGTCGTCAGCTACATCTACGTAGTCCGACTTGGCAGGAGAAATCACGCGTTTGTCTGCCATGATTCAATGAAGTGAGTTGTCTGGGATCAAAAACGAGAATACGATTCTCCCTAAGAACTGCACACACTAGTACACGAGTCGTCTGATGTCATCTTGACACTAATGGTGGGCTTTCACTAAAGTCACAACACCGAAAATGTCACACAATTTATTGAACGAGTCTACGAGCTCTTAATAATCTTGTGAGGTGACTACACTCACACTAAGGACACTACACTAACTAAATACTATGTTTATTTACACGTGAGTTGACTGCGTCAAGGCTATCTTGACTCTAACCAAAATGCGCGCCAAGCGTTTAAAAAGAAGTCCAAATTGGCTAGACTGAGCACCACTGCACAACAATAATAAAGATGAGTGTCACTGGGCACTGGAATGCGTAAACACCTTTTGTCTGTACGGTTGTGTACACACCAACACTAAGAGTTGTCTGAATCTAACTGAATCACAAGCACTTTATTCAGAATATTTCACAAAATATTCACAAAATTGTTAAGCACTAGAACCTTCTAGAGTTGTTCAATTTGCATCCAAGCCGTTCTCATCCGGCTCGAAGGACCAAATGTTCTGACTTCGAGTCGACCGGACGAGAAAACTAAAAACTAATGGACTGTAATGATAAGAGAAAAGCACAAAAAAAAAGGTTGGATGCTAGAAGGTTCCTGAAAATAGTTCTCAACCACCAAATTGTATGGTTCTTATAGTTTTTATTCAACAATGACACTTAAAGTAGAACAATAGAAAACAATAATCACTAAGTTTCAGTGAGTTGACTGTAATTTAATTGTTTTTACACTTAAGAATTGTCTGATGGTTGATTCTTCACCAAAAAAGGTCTCCATCAGTGAAGAGCAACATGCACACTATACACCTAAGTTGTTCGAGTGTGTGATGTATATGTGAATGTCCGTGAGGCACTATGGCGTCGACGCCAGTTCAGCTCCGCGCCCAAAGACACTACAACTGACTTTACTGGACCACTGGCACTGATGAGAGTAATTTTGATGGTTTAATAATGTTCACGAGAGTTGTCTGAGTCTGGTTGATCGTATTTTTTCTCTACGAAAGGTGAGCTGACTGCAAAAACTGCGAATTGACTGCGTAAATTTCTACGGAGTTGACCGCGTGATTTGCCTGGAGCTAACTGACGCCACAAGTGCTCAACCGCGTGCTTGTTGGCGTCACTAGGGCCGTAGAGTCGCCTTCTGGGCCATGAGGGAAATACTTCCCGATGATCCGAGGATTGGTCCAGTGAGTTGACTGACGCGCCGGTGGACAAGTCCGGCATTTACAATTTTTGAATATTTCCCGACTAACTGACTCGGGCCCCTCCAAGTCAGAACACTATTTAAATCTGGTAATTATTTCCTTTAATTGCTCATTTTGTATTTACTTTACTTTTTTATGCATTGACAATAAAATTAGTAATAGATAGATGTATCATTTTTTGTAGGACTCGTATCGTCGTTTGGTGTAAAATCCAGTAAATGTTTGGGCCGCGGTACGCGCACTAAAGTTTGTTGGATGTGTCAACGTGGTCATGATAAAAATGATCATAAATGTCATTTAAACTGGAAAGGCAGTGCAAAATCAATGGAGCCGGATATTACAGTTCAAATTTTAACAAAAAATCCTCAATTTGAAAAAGAAAATGTTGTTGTTGGTACGCTTATTGGCGATGTTGATTGTTCAACAATTGCTGCGGTGAGAAGAGAATGCAATTATTCTATCGAAAAATGGTCTGATGTGAATCATACTACAACAAAATTGAGTAAAGAACTTTGGGTTCAAAAGATTGATAGACATGTGATTGAGTATTTAAAAAACTGTTTCACTTATAGTTTGAAACAAAATGAAAATGATGTAGCAGCAGTAGAAAATGCAATAAAAAACATAGTTCCTCATGCATTTGATGGGCAAAAAGATTGTGGTATTTGGTGCAAATATAATGACGATCCTGAAGGTTATAAACAGAATGGACTACCAGGTGGAAAGGGACTGAGAGGGGAGTCTTTAAAATCAACATTAACGAAAATTTTTGAACTTTTTTAGAGAAATGCTAAAACCTTAGCTCCTTGTGGTTCCAGCCAAGTTAACAAATCGTTTAATGCATTAGTAACAAGTAAAGCACCAAAATCACGTTTTTATGGAAGTTCTGGATCGTGTAATGCGAGGGTCAATGCGGCAGTTCTTCAAAAAAATGAAAGAACAAAATATGTTCTCGATCTAAACAAGAAATGTGGAAAACCTACTAGTGAAATAACGGAAAAGTATAGATATGAAAAAGATGGCAAGCGAAAAATACGAGCTAACGTTTGT